TCCCCTGCCCTCAGGTCAATGTCTTTTTGAACTGGAATCTAATTATTACCATTTCCATACTTTGGGCATAAGCATAAATTCTAACTGGTACCCAGTTAGAACTTATGCTTATGCCCAAAGTGTGAAATATCAAAGATGGTTCATCTGAATATAAAAATAGTCACTAGCTTTAAAATATACCATTGTTATCATGTCACCTCTCTGCTTACAAACCTACTACTACTAAATAAAATATAGATTCCTCATCTGCAAAAAAATAAATAAATAAATAAATAAATAACAGCAGGGATTCAGAGAAAACTAGGAAGACTTATAAGAACTGATTTAGAGTAAAGTGAGCAGAACCAGGAAAACATTGTACACAGTAATAGCAACACTGTATGATAATCAACCATGACAAACTTAGCTCTTCTCAATAATACAATGATCCAAGACAATTCCAAAAGACTTGTGATGGAAAATGTTATCCACATCCAGAGAAGGGAACTATGGAGTGTGAATGCAGATCAAAGCACGCTATTTTCACTTTTGTTTTTAGTTTTTTCTTTCTCGTGGTTTTTTTTTTCCTTTTCTTCTGATTCTTCGTTCACAACATGATTAATGTGGAAATATGTTTAACATGTACATGTATAACCTACATTAGATTGCTTGTTGTCGTGGGCAGGGGAGAGGGAAGGGAGAGAGAGAGAAAAATCTGGAACTCAAAATCTAATGAAAATGAATGTTGAAAACTATCTACATGTAATCAGAAAAAATAAGATACAATTAAGTGAAAAAAAAAAATTTAATTACTCAGTAGCTAAGAGAAGCATTGGAGTGGGTAGTCTTATGGCAAAGAGACCAACCAGAAGGCTATTAATACAACAATCCAGGGAAGAGGAAATAAGGTACTAAACTAGGGCTATGGTTGCATAAATGTAGAGAAAGAGATAAACATGAGAGTCTGTGATGGTAGAAATGACAAGATACGACAATGGACTGCATATATGTGTGAATACGAAGTCACGGGTAACATCAAGTTTGTGAACCTGGGTGACTAGAAGGATGGTGATGCTTGCCTATGCTGATTTGTTACAAGAAATGTTTTTCCACATCATAGCACCTGGCTCACATTCCTCCTCTCCACCCTGCCCTTATGTCCGAGGATGTCAATCCACTTATTGATGACCCCACAAATAAGTACCCTGGCCTCCCAGTTCACCAAGCTCTTCATTTCACCTCAGCCAAACAATGGAAACCTATCCTGAAACCCCTCAGGGTACAAGACCAGAAGTGTGGCATCCAGGTCACAAGGTACAACTCAGAACAACTTTTCTCTATATTAAGTGGAGAAATTTACATTTCCAACTGTATCTTAATATGCTTTTGTTCCCATAGTACCTCCAACACTGATGCTTCTGACTTCATCTGTCGGTTTTGCTAGGGTTAAATTTTAAATCTCAGTTATTTTAATTTATATTATTCTCATTATTAATCTTGTATATGGCTGCTGACTGTTTGCCATTCTTCTTTTGAATACTTTTTTCATATCCTCTGACCTCTTATCTACTGGATCTTGGTATTACATGTTTAATTCCATTATCTTAGATGTTATACTTTTGTGAGAGATATTTGATAGGAAGATTCCCCTCCCCCCCATTGGTAGTTTCCCTTCTTATCCTAACTATATTTTGTTCAAGAAAAAAAGCTTTTCAATTTTCTATAATCTTTGCCTCTCAGAGTTCCTGACTTCCAATAAGGCCTGGCTCACATGCCACCTCCTAAGTGGAGCCATTTCTGATCCTCCTAGGTGTTAGTGTTTGCTCCCTATTAAATTAATCATGTATATACAAATCTGTTTACATGATGTAGTCTTAAATCCCTGAGGAAAGGGACTGGTTTTTTTTTCCCCTTAGCACATTACACAGAGTAGGTTCTTAATAAATGCTTGCTTACTTGGATTAGATCAAAGATTGCAGTATTGGCATCAAGTATCAGTTCAGCACAGTCTGTGAGCCCCAGACATCAGTTGTTTACTGATGCAGACAGTTAGACATAACTCCTTAACCATCTCTACATACTTCTCTGCAACTCCAACTACCCTGCATTTAGACTGACAAGACACTGAAAATGACATCACACTCCCTCCTTCCATGCCATGCCTCATCGAAAGACACTAGAGAGCAGAGGCCCTAATCAGTTGATTCTTTCCCTATTCTATGGGGACGAACTCATAGCTAATGTGACCTTTTTCCTTATGATTCAGAATTACTGTCTGCTGAAGCAAAAATCCCTTTCCCTACTACTTCTTCCCATACTCTAATTATTCACCTCAACACTACCCCTGCACATTCCTTGTCCTTTTTTGCTTTTTTTGTTCCATTACACTCTCTGAAATACCTACTCTATTACTTAAAAAAACAAACAAGCTCCCCATAGTTGTATCTATCTTGACACCACACACTTATCTTCTTCTAGTGCTAACATAAACCTGGATCCCTCTAAAAGACCCTACATCTTTGCCTCTCCTCTCTCCAATGCTAGGTGCTCATTTTCTCATGCACCCTGGACACACAGGATAAAAAAAAAATTGTTGGATGACCAGATTCAAGGAGTAGTTGTTAATGATTTAACATCCATGTGGCAGGGGGTCTCCACTGGACCTAAGGGATCTGTGGTTGGCCCTGTGCTGTTCAACATTTTTATCAATGACTCTGATAAAAGCATAGGTGGGATGCTCATCAAGATAAGAAAACCTAATACGATAGACTCAACATTGGGCTAAATATAAGACAAAATTTGACAGGGATAAATATAAGGTCTTGTACCTGAGTATGAAAAGTCAACCTTATAATATAAGTTGAAGAAGACATGGTTAGACATCAGTTCCAAAAAAAGGTCTGGGGATTTTAGTGGGCTGGAAGGTCAAAATGAGTTAGTAGTGTAATGTGGCAGTCCAAAAAACCTCATGCAAACTTGGGCTGCGGTAAGAGGGGCATCACTACCAAAAAGAGACAGTCTCATTGTACCACACCCTTATCAGAGCTCATATAGAATACTATGTTCAGTTCTGGGAGCAACAATTTAAGCAGCACAGTGATAAAGCTGCAGTGTTGTCCAATTCACATTGGAGCCCCCCCACCCCAAGTAAACTATACATAAGGATCTCTGCAGGCCACATATTGGCTTAGAAAACCACATACTAATATCATTTAGGCTTCACTGTATTTTTACTTATTTCATCAAATATTGCCTAATTACATTTTAATGAGGTTGCACTAGGGAGTGCTGTGGGCCACACAAGGCTTGTGGGCTGCCTGTTTGACACCTGTTGTCTAGAGGAAGGCAGTCAGGATGGCGAAAGGCTGTCTTAAAAGGACAGACTGAAATAACAGGATATTTAGACCACCAACTAGGTTTTGCAACCTTGAACTCATCCATGACTCTTCTCCTTCCCACCAAAACTTGCTGATTCTACCTCCATAATCTCTCTCACATCTCCCTCATCTTTCTCTCCATTCACACAACCATATCCTAGTTCAGGCTTTCACATCACCTTTCATTTGGACTATGTGAATCCTAATCCTAATTAGTTTCCCTGCTTCCATTCTTTCCTCTCCAATCCATGGTCCACACAATTATCAAATTAATACTTCTATAACAAAAGTCATGTAACTCCCCTGACCAAAAATCTTCAGTGGCCCTTTATTGCTTAGAGAATAAAATACAAACTACATTTAAACTCACCACAAAGTGGCTCCCATCTGTCCAACTACTAAAATTTATATTCCATCTCTCATCTCCTATGCCTTTATACAAATTGTTGTCCTCTTTTCCCATATTCCCTCCCAGTGCCTCCTCATATCTGGAACACATTCCCTCATCACATATGATTCTCAGAATCCCAAGGTTCCTTCCTGGCTCATCTTTGTCACTGCCTCCTCCATGAAGACTTCTCCACATTTCCCTAGTTGTTAAGTGCTCTCTTTCCATTCAAATTACCTTGTATTTACTTATCTGTAGCTATGTAATATCATCCCAGTAGAATATAACCTCTTCTAGGGGAAGGATTATTTCATTTTGATGTATTCCCAGTGTCTCTCACAGTGCCTTGCACATAACAAGCATGTTTGTTGAATTGAATATAATAATCATTTCAGCTATATATAAACAGAATAATAATAGAACCTCTCCCAAGTAAAAAACAAAATGCTCATTTACGTATGTATGCATATAATTGTATATTTAAATATATTTTATGTAGATATACATGTATATACACACACCTAAATTTACACAAATAATTTAATTATTTTGCAGCTTTAATATACATATACAGTCCCCAAGATTCAGTTCAACCAGTATTTACTGGGAGAACACTATGCTAGGCTCTGTGAAAGAAAAATAAATAAATAAAAATATTAACAGATCATCTCATCTAAACCACACACTTTATAAATAAGAGAACTGAAGCCAAAAGAGGTTAAGAGGTTTGCATCAAGTAACATAGCTAGCTAATTTTCATTTTGTGTGGCCCTGCCCATATTGCCTAGATTCTGAGATGTTGTTAGCAATCTCCCAGTCCAAACTGTGTTCTTCCTTTGACTAAGTAACTACCCATTTAGACCCTATTCGTTTCTACCTCCTGCCTGGCTCAAATCTTTTGATACCAACTTCTGTTTTTTAAATATTGATCCTATCATTGCCTCTGAACCCTGTCTCATTTGGATATGTGGAAAGCTTCCCTGGTCAGCCTCATCCAACCACGAATCTTGCCAATATTCTCCAGTTTAACCTGATACCTCAAACTCTATCCTGAGATTTGTCCTCAGGTGCGTTGCTCTAGCCATTCTCCCTTTTGACCTAAACTAGTTGGCTCCCAGGCATATAACTGAGTTGGCCATTTGTCTAGTTGCTACCTCCAACCTAATACTGGCTGTCACAGCCATTAACAGCAGAAAGCCTTAGAGAATTCACCACTTTGAAACAATAAAAGTTCATACCATTACTAATTAGCTTACCATTATTTCCTGGTGGTTGCAATGCATCTCCGGTTAAGCCACACCACCCAACTGGGAAGATATCTCGAGAATCATACTTGCACCAATAATCAAATGCTCCTCTCCAGCCATCAAATGTAATAAAAACTTCATCTCCTTTAACATCTCCAACAGTTGCTGGGCAGATCAAATAAGGATTCTTTTTGTCTATTGCTTCAAGTTTCATTCCAATTTTTAAAAGATTTGGAGTTGGTTTGGGAGGTTCCTACCAAAACAAAAGATAAAATTTAAATTGCTAAGGAGAATTTTCAATCATTTTTATTTGTGAATATTTAGCAACCAAAAAGTAACATCCATATTAAATTACATGAAATACAATCAGACATTTTGGCTACCTGGAATTGAACTGAAAACAAATAACAAGGGGAAAAGATCTTACAGCAGCTAGAAAAATGTTATAAAAGTTATACACTAAAGTGCATGAGGCTTGAGTAGGAGTTCTTTGGTCCTTCATTCAGAGCCTATATAGTCTTCCTTTACAGGTGTTTAAGTTTAACAAATTTTGTTGCTGGGCTTATAGAGGAAGGCCCAAAGCAGATTAAAGGTCACAAATCAGAAATGGAAAGAAAGATACATACAAGTTCATTAATGGCAGTGCGACATAATAGTCAACAGCAAAATTAGTCATTTAAAAAAAATTTCAAGTATAAGTAACATTCCAGAGTCATTTAACATAAGAATAAAAACCCTACATGCTTCAGTAACCCTACAGATTTCACTGTATTTGTCTTTTACACAAATAATACTGAGTTATCAAGAATATACTGGGTGTGGATATATGGATACTGTACTTCGAGTCAGGAAAACCTGTCCTAAAATCTCTTCTTACTAGCTGTGTGATTACAGCCCCAAATCTCTGTAGCTTTTATGGGTCTTAATTGACTCCCTAGGCTTAACTATGTTAAAAGGCATAACTACTTCATTTTATAGACAAAGAAACTGAGGCCCAGGAAGTTAAATGATTTGTCCTAAGACATAAACATAGTATTAGAGATGAGATCTGGACCCAAGTCCTAGGTCCAGAGCAAGCCATCTCCTATACTTTGCCTTTGCTGCTTAGTTACATAAAAATGGCGAGGAGGAGGCAGGGGGGAATATCACAGCTATTTCTACGTGTCCAAAGGATTAGACTTATTCTACTCTGCTCTCAGAACTAAAAACAATGGATAGAAGTTACAAAGAGGTAGATTTCAGATTTATGTAAAAACTTCCTAAAAATCTGAGTTATTCTAAAGTAAAATAAGTGGCATTCTGCTTTGTACTGAGTTCCCTAAAACTGGTGATCTTCAAAGAGGCTGTATGTCCATTAGTTAAGAGATCTTGTAAAGGATGTTTCTGTTCCGCTACTGGTTAAGCTCTATAATCTCAGGTTCTTAGCACTTCTAAGATTGTGCTGCTGCCAATCTTTTAAGACCAGTTCAAATGATACCTTCTGCAGGAAGCCTTCTCTGGTCTTCTCAATCAATGACTCCCCCTCTTCCATCCCCTACCCCCCAAAAAACTGTCTATACTTCACCACTGGATCACTATCTTCAGACACTGAGTAGCTGCATGTTCCCAGGCAAAGTAATCAGGGACAGTATAGCACCTACCTGACAGGGTTCTTTTTAGGATCAAAAGTACCTGTAAAGTGCTTTGCAAACCTTCAAATGCTATGCAAATTTTAACAATGATAATTACGATATATTAGTATTTTTATACAGTAAGCTCTACTAAGGCAGAGACTAATCTTATCACTCAAGCAGCAAAATGCTATTGTAGAAAGAACATTGCCTTTGAGTCTGAAGACCTGAGTCTGACTCCCAACCCTTCCATTTACCAATCATGGGACCTTGGGGAAGTCATTTTTCTTCTATGCACCCCAGCTTGCTCAGCTATAAAATGGAGATAATATCTGAACCACCTTCCCTACAGGTTTTGAGTATCAAATGAGATAATAATGGATCCTGTGCTTTGTACTTCCCTTATAATTGACAAGTTACCACACTACAATGGTAAAGGGAGCATCTTCACTGCAAATTTTCAAAACCAATGAAACTTGCCCCACAATGAATCAAGCCCCTCAAAATGTTTTTAAGGTTTAAAATACTATGGAAATGTCAGCTGTATGTTGTTTCTTAGTTATCTAAAATTTATAACTTGCCCAGAGACCAGAACACTATTCTACATTGAGTACGTGATTAAGAAACATTTATTGAATCCATGGGTAATGCCCACTATCTCCTTTTTCTATTGTTCCCATTCCCAAGCTCCTTACACTGCTAGAAGAAAACAGAAAACCACACTGAATTCTATGCATTAAAATTTATGTTCTATACACTCACCTGGCTCCCTATACCTCTTGGTAATCATTTTATACATCGTGGATCAGTTGCTTTAGCTCAACACTGATTCCAAAACTTGAGAAAGTCCCCCAAAACTCTCTCCTCTTTAGGAGTTGACCCACTTTACTGAAATCAAAGATATCCAATGGTGGATCACTCAACTACTCTCTTCATTATCGATAAAAGTGCTTTGTATTTTCACCCATTCTTTCCTCTTGTTTGTCAATTCTATGGAAGAAGCTGGCTTTACTACCTGTTAAAGCTAACCCTTTCAGCTGCACTCTTAATCTTATCCCTTCCTTTGGAACTAGCTGTATTAATCCCTTCTCTTCTTTACAACTTCAATTTTTACCTTTCCAGTGATCTCACCATTCAGTCATGAATGCTCAAACATTAATACTTACCTGTCATTCTTCTCAAACTCCTATGCAACTAGTCACTAAGTAATTTCTTGTGTTTTTTTTTTAAATAATCTATCTCCTTCATCAAATCCCTTTTCTTAATTCACAGTGGCACTACTCTAGGATAGGCCCTTTGTCTAGACAACAACGTCCTAACCAATCTCCTCCCTTCAATGCCAGTGTCGTATTACTCTTCCTAATATACAAACTATACCACTCCACTGCTTAGTGCAATAAGTTCAAACTTCTTAAGCTGGTGTTCAAGTCCTGCAAACATCAGACCCCCAATCTTTCCGGTCTTATCTCAAGCTACTCTCTGCATGTATATTATACTTCATTCAAATTAGGCTATGCCTATCCCCTTCCTCAATCTTCTGTCAAGATCTTTCCCTGTATCTACAATGCCTTCTCTCCAACCCATTCCAAACTATTTCCACCTGATGTACAACCATCCATTCTCCAAAGCCAATTTCAAATGTCCCCTCTGGAATGAAAATTTCCCTCAATCTGATAATCCAAGCGGTTCATTCTAAAAATTCTTCAATGATTCCTAAAGCAGTGGTAAATTATTACCCAATCATGTTATACTTTCCCCTTTTAAAACTTGTACAAAAATTATAGTAAGCCTATGTGGCATTCCTGGATTGCTTCTTTAAATTTTTACATAATGTCCCACATAAAATATTGCTAATTATTTTATAAAGAGTTTTATAATTTTATTTTTAGAGCTTTTAGAATTATAGATAGAATTAAATTTTATATTTTATAATTATAATTACATAATGTAAATTTTAATTTGCAGCCTTTCTTGGTAAAAGTTATCATTGTGTTTATTATAATCACTTATATATACATAAAATATTGTGGGTAGTTACATGAGATTAATATGGAGGTTCACAATATATTTTTGGTAAAAGGTATTCACAAAACAAAAAACATTGGGAACCACTGCCCTAGACAGAAACAATATGCCTCACCTTTGAAATCACATAATATTTCATATAATTCCTTATATATACACTTATATTGTTACTTGTACTAAAATATATTTGTACATGTAATTTTGCCCCTACAGGGATTATAAAATGTGACAATGGAAAGAATCTAACTTAGAATTGTTGTGAAGGTCAAACATGATGATGGATATAAAGTTCACGGTAAATATTTAAGAACTGGATAAATGTCCAGTTATAATAGTAATAACATTACTATTGTGAGGTCCTTACAGAGAGATACACTATGCTCCTATTTATCTGTATCTCTCCCAGAAACTAGAATAGTACTCTCTCTATTAAACACTTAAATATTTCCTCAATAAACTAGGATTCTAATACTTACAAAGGTTTCATGATTTTCAGGCAATGTCAGATAGCTCTTCATCTGTTGGCTAGGGGCCTTATGTCATATTAAATTATATATATAGACAACACACACACACACACACACACACACACACACACACTTACCCTATCACATTTATTTCTTCTTCTAGGAAAGAACAAAAGCATTTAGAATGAGAAAAGCAAAGTAGGTAAAATTTGATATAATATTCCTTCTCCATAAAAAATAGGGTATGTTATTTCTACATATCATCACAAAGTAGTCTTTCCCAACTCTAAATCTCAAATATCTACTTTAAACAGGTTCAAAGTTAAAAGGTGTTTCATATTCAGTAACTATATTTACTCCAAGAGAGAGCCTCCTAAAGAAAAACCAATAGCCAGAAAGCTTTCATTTTCACTCATAGATCTTTTTAAAGACAAATGAATTAAGCATATCATTATGAACACTCCGTAGGAGGTCAATTAAGAAGAAAATTCTCACATACACCAAAATATTTATAGCAGCACTTTTTATGAAAGCAAAGAATAGGAAACAAAAGATAGACAGCGAGTGAGGAATGGCTAAATAAGTTGTACCGCACAGACTGAGGGGACAGGGATTGTCTTTTGCCTCTTTTTGTATACTTAATGCTTAGCACAGAACCTGGAATAGAGTAGGCACTTAATAAATGTTTATTGATGACTGATGAACAATGTAATACCACTTTGCTCTAAGATACAATGAAAATACAGAATTCAAAGAATCATAGAAGGATTTACAATGAAAATACAGAATTCAAAGAATCATAGAAGGATTTACATGATCTGATGCAGAGTGAAGTGAGAAGAACCAGGAGAACGTTGTACATAGCAACAGCAATACTGTACAATGAAGAACTGAGAATGACGTGGCTATTCTCAGCAATACAATGATCCAAGACAATCCCGAAGGACTCATGATGAAGCATGCTATCCACCTCCAGAGAAAGAAGTGATAATGTTTGAATACAGACTGAAGCATGCTATTTTTCACTCTTTCATTCTTTTTTTTTAAATTCGAGTCTTCTTGTATAAATGACTAATATGGAAATGTTTTATGATTGCACATGTATAACTGGTATCAAATTGCTTACTGTCTCAGGGAGAGGGAAGGAGGAG